GAATGTTGTTGTGTTTTTGGGTGATCTGATCACAGAATCACAAACAGCAAACATGGCTGATCAACGCATGGTTTTATTTACCCACAATGCAATTTCAATAAACAGACGTTGTACTAAGTACCGGATAGTAAACAGACTTTTCAGACCGACAAACAGCGACATGTAGTATGATTAGCATATCATATCAAATACACTACATTCCTCCACCTTTAAGTAAAGACGTTAACACTGTTCAGAATAGAGTCTGAAAATAGAATTATAAGCATTTCAAATCACATTTGAATTATACTAATTCTTGTTGTAAACTAAATGTATGAATTACTGTCCATTGTCTGTAAATGTCACTGAACTATATGATAAAACTGAATTTACTGAATTAAATGACTTTTAACTTCAAAATGAAATAACGTTGTTTGTTATTATTAACTATAAACTTCAAACAGTCTTTTCAAAAATGTACTACCGGCACATTTGACTTAACTAGGAAATTAACAGTTTATAAGAAAACTTTCAAAACAGTTAACTGCAATTGGTACAAATTATTATTTGCACAAATTCTGAATGTGTTCATTTTTGAGTCACATAGTCCTTCAAGTATGCAGGCGTTGTCTTCACACGTTGCGGTCTAACAACTGGCACAACAGACGATTGCTTTGTCTGTTTTGGACTGGAGCCTTCCTTTTCCCCCACGGATGGTGAAGAGTCCTTGGAGTTGGTTACCACGTCGGAAACTGCAGTTATGACTGGATGAGCGTCCGACTCAAATATTTCCTGGTGAATGTTTGGCTCAGCGACTGCCAAACAGTGTCTCTGTCTGATATGATCTACGTGCCGTCTAGCCCTGACACCATTTTGACCTTCGACCGTGTATGAAACAGGACTGGTCTTAGATACTATTTCTCCAGATTTCCATTTTGGTCCTGAATAAAAGTTTTTAACGAAAACTTGGTCTCCTTCCGCAAATACACGTTCTTTAGCGCGACTGTCATGATAGTTTTTCTGAGTTTGTTGTCGCTTGACGACTCGTTCACGAACGTCGGGTTTAACCAAATCTAGCTTGGTTCGCAACTTGCGATTGAACAAGAGTTCTGCAGGTGAGAGCCCGGTCGTTGTTTGCGGAGTTGACCTGTACGAGAGTAGGAAACGACTTAACTTAGCTGCGGTATCACCACCGGAAGTGCCCATCTTTTTCATTCCCTCTTTGAAAATGCGTACTGAACGTTCCGCAAGTCCATTTGTAGCTGGATGGTGTGGTGATATTTTCACGTGTTGAATTCCATTTTCTCTCAAGAATGTCTCAAATTCTTCACTTATAAAACATGGACCATTGTCTGAAACAAGTTTATCTGGTAGACCGTGTTCCGCAAAGATTTGACGCAGTTTCGCGATTGTCACCGTAGATGTTGACGAATTTGTTGGTACGACTTCCAACCACTTGCTATACGAGTCCACGACTACAAGAAACATTTGCCCGAGGAAAGGGCCCGCATAATCCACATGGATTCGCGACCATGGCCGGTCTGGCCAGTCCCAAGAGTGAAGCGGTGCCACCGGTGGTACAGGTCTCTGTAGCTGACACTCCGTACATGCCTGCACTTTATCTTGGATGTCGGAATCTATTCCCGGCCACCACACGTGACTACGCGCTAGTGCTTTCATCCGTACAATTCCTGGATGTCCTTCATGCAGGAATTCTAACAATTTGGCGCGTCCTGGTTTCGGTACAACCACGCGGTTTCCATGAAGTAACACATCTTCATGACAGGAGAGTTCAGCCTTCCTATTGAAGTATGGTTTAGTCTCTTCGCTTCCACATTTGTTCCATCCATCCTGCACATGTGCTAGTACTTGTATAAGAACTGGGTCTTTCGCGGTCCATTCCTGAATTTGCTTAAATGTCACTGGAGTTGTGTCCAAGTGTTCAAGAAGTAATAGGGTCTCTCCTGGTAAAGGAATGTTAACCACGGTTTCACTCAACGGTAAGCGACTCAGACCATCAGCGTTACTGTTCTTAGTTCCTGGTCGATACCGCAAATCGTACTCATACGTAGCTAGTAGCAGAGCCCACCTCTGAATGCGTGCCGATGCCATGCTCGGAATGGCTCTGTCTGCTTTGAATAAACCAAGCAACGGTTTATGGTCCGTGTAGACAACAAACTTTTGTCCAAAAAGATATTGGTGAAATTTGCGTACACCAAATATCAACGCTGCACCTTCTTTGTCAAGCTGCGAGTAATTTTTCTCTGCAGGAGCAAGTGTTCGCGATACATATGCGATCGGTCGCTCGCGACCATCTAGCATCACATGTGACAGCACTGCCCCAAGACCGTACGGTGAGGCATCGCATGACAACACAAGTTCTTTATCCGGGTCATAATGTACGAGAAGCGTGTCTGACTGAAGCATGTCCTTCGCTTCGCGGAAAGCTTCATCTTCGGCTTTGTCCCATTTCCACTTGACATCCTTGCCCAGCAACGCATATAATGGTGCTAAGGTTGTGCTTAACCTAGGTAAGTAATATGAATAATAGTTCAACATTCCCAGAAATGCCTGTAGCTCTTTCACGTTTGTTGGTGCTGGTGCATCCTTAATTGCCATGACCTTGCCCTCAATAGGCTGCATGCCTTCACTGTTAATTCGGTGCCCTAGGTACTCCACCTCTTTCCTTAGGAAGTAACATTTGCTACGTTTAAGCTTCACACCGGCTTTTTCCAGACGGTTGAGAACAGCCTCCAAGTTTTCTAAGTGTTGACGTCGGTTCTTACCGGTAACCAAAATATCATCTACGCGCACGATAACTTGGGGTATGCCTTGTAACAGGTTCTCCATTGTCCTCTGAAATATTCCAGGAGCGGATGCTACGCCGTATGGAAGACGATTGTAGACAAACAACCCTTTGTGCGTGTTTATGGTCGTGTACGGTTTCAAACTGTCATCCAACTCGAGCTGTTGATACACTTGACTCAGGTCCAATTTCGAATAATCTGTTCCACCGCCCAGAGTCGCGTAAAGATCTTCCGTCTTCGGAATTGGGTAGTTGTCGAGTTTCGAGACTTTATTGACTGTTACTTTGTAGTCACCGCAAATCCGTATTGATTTATCACTCTTGACAATCGGAACAATGGGTGTAGCCCATTCTGAGAACTCAACTGGTGATATGGTTCCCTCAGCAACCAGTCTATCCAGTTCATGTTCGATTTTGTCGCGAAGTGCATACGGAGTAGGTCGCGCTTTGAAATACAACGGTTTTTCCTGTGGATCAACGTAAATCTTGGCCTTGGTCCCACGAACTTTGCTTAGGCCTGGCTCAAAAACAGATGGATGCTTACTCACAATCTCATCGATAATACTGTTGTCCGAATCATGCGAGATACTGAAAATTTCATTCCAGTCGAGCTGAATGTGCTGTAGCCAATCTCTTCCCAGCAAGCACGGATTGTCTCCCTTGACAACTTCAGCTTGTAGTACCCCGTCAAACTTGCCATAGTTCACAGGAACTTCAAAACGTCCCAAAACAGGTACCATTTCACCAGTGTAGGTTTTCAATTTGGTATTTGACGGTTTTAGTGTTACTTTGTCGCATTTAGTCAAACGTTCAAATGCAGGCTCGCCTACCACCGTTTTCGACGCCCCCGTATCAATCTCCATTTGTAACGGAATACCATTGACTGACAGCGTTACTGTATAGGGCTCTTTGTTAGACGAAGACACTCGAAACATTGGATAAATGTCATCATCATCGACTTCCTCTAAAGCATTGACCTTATTCTGTTTTTTCCTGTCACTACTGTGAGTAACTCGACCCCCTTTACATTCAGCAAGTCTAGTCAAACACTTCTCAATAATGTGTCCTTTCTTACGACAATAAAAACATTCAGAGTCTTTAAACTTACAGTTCTGGGGTTTGTGTTTACCTCCGCACCGGAAACATGGTTTCTGAAGATTACCTTGATTATTCGGAGCCTGTGCTCTGTGACCCTGTGTTTGTTGCTGTGACTTGGGTCTCTGTTGACCCCGTTTCAGTTGACTGACTTTATGAATTTTTCCCGCACCCGCAGGTGTCGTGTCCTGTTGTAAATCGATAACATTCTTGGCTGCGGTTTCCATAGATATGGCAATTTCATAGGACTTTGTGAATGTCAATTCACCCTCTGACAGCAGACGTCTCTGAATCCTGTCTTCATTGATACCACAAACTAACCTGTCTCGGATCATAGTTTCGAGAGTTCCACCAAAATTACAATGTTCAGATAAATTGCGTAACGCGGCAATGTACTGCGAAACAGACTCACCGGTTTTCCTGAATCGATTGTGAAATTTGTATCGCTGTTCAATCTCTGACGGTTTAGGAGCTGAATGTTCCTTCACTAGAACCACCAAATCCTCGTATGTCTTTTCACTTGGCTTTGTAGGTGCTGACAAATCGCTCATCAATGTGTAGACTTTCGCCCGACACACACTTAGCAGGATCGCCCGCCTTTTTTCCTTATCACCCGGTTCCTCGTTACCGATACCATTTGCGACGAAATACTGCCCTAGGCGCTCCGTATAATGTTCCCAGGTCTCTCCCTGCGAATCATCAAACGCATCGATCTTCCCAAAAGTCGATGTCATCTTTAAAACTTCACCTCGTCGCCAAAATATGTTGTGTTTTTGGGTGATCTGATCACAGAATCACAAACAGCAAACATGGCTGATCAACGCATGGTTTTATTTACCCACAATGCAATTTCCATAAACAGACGTTGTACTAAGTACCGGATAGTAAACAGACTTTTCAGACCGACAAACAGCGACATGTAGTATGATAAGCATATCATATCAAATACACTACAATGACGTCTGAGAAGTGGAAGGACTTGTGGTAGGAGGATCTGGTCTCTGTATCGAACGGCATTGAGGTTTTGATCCAGGACCACCAAGGGGGATTTTACTCCATGGGAGATGCCTTTACAGAAGCCCCACCGAATCTATCACGTTCAACCACGCATGCGTCGGCGAAACGCTCACCGCGTCTGCTATTTACCCTTTTTCTTCCGTCTGAGCGATACAGACAGAATCTAGACTCGTCGGTGAACATTACTCGCCTCTATCGACGCATCCGCAACCTATTCGGGCCATGTCAGCGCATCCAGTCAAGACGCACTTGCCGCCTCCGTGGTGTCCCGACATAAGGTCGGCGCGCAATGATTCTCTCGGCACGCAAGCGGTTCCTGACAGTTTGAGGACTAATGGGTCTGTCATGAGTACCGAAGGTTTGCGACGCAGTCTCAACAGCAATCTTGAATCTGTTGCGAAACTGCGACAATCGAATCGCCCTGTCTTGTGGTGCGGTCGTTACAAGCGGACGACCGCTCCTGGGACGATCGGAAACTAATCCAGTAGCACGGAAACGTGTACAGAGACGGTTAATTGTACACGGGCCAACACCAAATTGCCGTGCGACAGCAGTTTGGCTAACATCGCAATTGCTCTACGCCTCTGAATTTGCGTTAAGCGTGGCATATCAGTCAATGGCGAAATCAAAATGCCAACGTGGAAAATTAATGTGGCTGAACTTGGAGTATCCGTTGAGATTATTTGTTTGAAAAACTCCGGCTTGGCTTGATCACGCCGCGTGATTTGGACTAAAGAAGCTCACAAAGTCACACAATGACATCGTCACACTTGGCTGATTTTAGGGTAGATTGTTGAGAAGGGAGATCGTTCTTGATGTAATACCTGACCAAATATTCCATTATTTACTTACAGCTAAGGTGTACTGCAGGGGGGAACTTTGTGCGTTTCTTTTTTTGTTTGTTCAGTATACATGTATGTATTCTTGTAATTAATCCTCCATAATATTCTTAAATTGACTTACACAACGGGTTTATTTAATAAGGGTTAATAAGAATGATTAAAGTGAAACTGTACCACATTTATCTTGGCTATATTGCTGTGACCCGAGATAATTGATCCGTAGTTCATTGCGGTAAATACATGGACATTGTTAGTACAATGTACATAGTTCTATATCCAAATATGCATCAAATCGTCTCACTAAAGTATTTATTCGAGGCTTCCGAGCAAATATCTTCCTCTCAAGATGTTATATGTTTATCAATATGTAATCCCAGTTACCCCTAACAATATATATGTGCTATTTTTGGTAATCCCCCAGATAATATGCAACAATGATCTGCTGACATTTTTTTTTGTGGGTGAACCAATTAAAAAGTAGAACTCTCTGGCTCATTAAAGCCACATGCTGTTTTCTTGCCTCAAATATTTGTTTCCTGTAGATCGGAATTTAACGGATATCTAATGGCTGATGGATTTGTACGGAACAAACGTCAGCAGAAATAGCTGAGGAGCGCTGTATGGTAAATAAATGCTAATGGACGGGGCCGATAATGGATCCCTATGGAATCCCCGAGTTAATAGTGCCAATAGAAGGGGTAAACTCCCACAAAAGTACTTATATTGCAGGTAAGAAGCATAAGATGTATTGTTATAATCTATAAGATTTACTAGATCGAACGCTTTAATCGAAATTTAAAATGTTCCCATAAGTTGGTCTCTACTATTTGCCGTAGCCATTGAGCAATACGATATGCTAATGCTGTTTGGTGAGAATCTTTTTATCTGAGACTAGATAGCTTTTCATGAGATTGTATTCAGTTAAGCATTGATATATTTCCTTAGGGACATGCTGTTCTAGTGATCTGTAAAACTTGAGGTATACAAATGGGAAGTTATTTTCAAGTATATCCCTACTGTCCGATTTGTAAATCAGAATAATCACAGCTAGTTTATATTGATCAGGGTACTTTCCTGTAGGTTAAAGATAAACAAATGGAGCTATGCTACACTGAATAGCCGCACACTGGTATTGCTTTGTATTTTACAGCCCGTTACGTCTGGTCACCTGATGTCTAAATCCTTTGTATGTTTTGTTCCTTTTTATCTAATGTTTTTGGAATATATATATGAAATATAATTAATGACTTTTTTAATAATGAACATGTCTGTATATTTTCCCACTGTGTTTCTCATCAACTCTAGTCCAAATCCTAGTCGATATATCGATGAAATGCTGGTAAATATTTCAGCCGTGCCATCCATATAGTCCACGGAGATGTAATCTCAGAACTAATTCACTTTAGCAGAATCATGTGTTTATTTGTATTTATTTGATTTTATTTGTATTGTGATCGAAGATTTGTTGAATGTTTATTTTCTGAAATCGACGATTTTAAAACTATGATTATTGTCCTCAATCTACATCTGTTCCTACATTTCGAAGTTTCGTTTGTATCCTTGCTAAAATACAATATTTTAATGTATCAGTCTAGTTGTTAATTTTTGTTTATAGCGGCGAGAATTTATTCAATATAAAAATTTCGAGAGCATGGAAACGACCATAGTGGCTATAAACAGTTTCAAATTTAGTTGATCATAGATAATGAAAGCAACTATCCTGGATAAACTAAATGAATCTACTTCATTATCCGATTCAGGACAGATAACTTTGGAACACAGACAACTCTTTGTTATACATATATAATTTAGATTGTTGATGTCAATGTTCGGGACAGGTACTTCAATGACTTGGTCAAAGGACGTAGGTTAAATGTATTCTTTAAAAATTTGAGATCTATGCACGTTTATACATCAGTAATCTTTCCACGTTAGTTGATGGTTATAGATCACGTCATGTATTTTACATCCTTACGGAAGGATCCCTGTCCCTCTGCACTGTGGTTTTTCCTATATACAAAACCCGCAGCCACCCCCAACCCCATCCTTCTAATCTCGTTTCATATGTACCTGTAAGACAGTTGGACCAGGACACTTCCGCTGACCAGAGAGCCCAATCGGTTAAAGCGATAGTATAACAATATGAGGTCCAGGGTTCGAATCCTGGTCTGTACCTGCTGAACTTTTGTTGATTACATTTTGTAAATGTGATCTTTGCTATTTTTCACAAAAAACAACAACATGCAAGGTATTGATATTTCTTTTTAGAAATTATTTAACAAAGTTATAGTTATTCCGGGATAAAAAAGTGTTCAAAGCCTGGTTACAGTGTTGACAGCGGTACATGGATCCTTAAGTTTATATAGTAAGTGTATAGTAAGTCCCATACAAATTATAAACGTCTAGTGGCTTCTAGTAAAATGGAAATAAATGTATCTTATATAGGAAATGGCTTTTGATTTTATACAGTATGTTACAGCGGATCTTTTTGTGTAATTTACGTTCCTCGGTCATCATATACACATATCATCTTCGGTAAAATGTAAAGACCTTCATTTATATCATTTCTGTCGGTGCAATGCTTTGCAGACTGGTGATCATTACACAGCATAGTTTTTGGTCGACATTATATTTCCAAAAGAGTACGGGGAGATATTTGTTGCCAAGATAAAGGACAGTCAATCAGTCAACCAAACTAGACAGCACATTACAGAATGGTTTTGGCATTGCTCAATCTTGGAAGTATGTGTAACGCATTAAAGTCTATACGAATGCTCCGTATACAAGTGATTGGCTAATTTAAAAACCATCCAGTCTCACTTACAATGACAATAAACAACATATGGTGTGTGTATACCACAAGGATAATTAAATAGCATGTATTAAAAGATACTGGTTGTCAATTGTTGCTGGTGGTCAAGGTCGATGACCAAATTACAAGTCTCAATTTAATAAATCCTTTTTGTATTTAATCTGATTAATCCCACTTGAATTCAGGTCAGTGCCTCCTACTTGTACTTCAGCTGATATATTCCAATGATTTGTAAACAAGCGATCATATTGCACTTGTATACAAGTCAATACAGTAAAATAGCCTTATACTGACATCGTTCATCCAGAGCAATGTCGGCGTTATAAAGGGGGTTTGTCGATATAGACGTAAACACGCATAAAGGAATTCTTTAGAAAAACAGAAGAAGGGACATTGAAATATATTGGTGGTAAGCGATATGGTAAATGAAACGAGGGACATTATAACGAGGTTTTACTGTTCATCTCACTTTAGCTAATTCACTGTGTCATGTTTGTATTGAAGTCAATCGTGAGTCCTCCTGCCTCATATCAATGTCAGTATTATGTTATCTATGCTATTAAGCACGTCTTCGTGGGGTTAAACCAATCAGTAAAGAGAATGTGTTGGTCACGGCCAAGTTTCAACTGAGTTTGATCTGACATCGACACGTGATAGAACCGTAATGATTTTGAAGATTATCGCTGGGAATGCAAGAAACCTTGTAACATGTTGACAAAGAATTCCTAAAGCGTTGCATCAAACAGAACACAAATTCATCACATCCAACAGCAAACAAAAATACGCAAACGGGTGCGATCAGATTAATATCCGAGGTTAAGAATGAAAGGTAAAACACCTTTTGTAATATGATTGTCGGGTTAAGATGTGTCACGTGACACCACCACGTGCCACATCCATCTCCTTCATCTGGCCACAAAAGACACAATCAAGATCATTTCAATAATAATGTCACATCGGGAGCCTTTTTACCGAACTACTGAAAATGTACCAATCTACATTATAAACACGTAGAATTATTCCTCATACGATTGTTTCGACGGTTGTTGTTACGTACGTGATTAAAACAGAACAATATGCAGGAAATATTCTTCTGAAAATAGCTTGACTTCCCCTTGAGTCATAAAACAATCTAATCGAAATTTAAAAGATATTTAAGTGAATAAGATATTTGGAATATAAATGACAATCTCAACTCAACGCTTAACGCTCGGGCGTAACTGATTCAACAGGTGTGAAAATAATTCTTAA